AATACCCCGAATTTATGTGTGACATGATTTATGCCCCTGTGCCAAGCATGCCGATCGATGTTTTTAATATTTAATGTAAACTATACATAACAGCGTCATTGCTGGTTCACCGGGTTCCTTAACAATATATAAATATTCGTGTCCAGAATTACTTTTTCACTTCACTATACAAGTGTATTGGTCCTCGAGACATCCCTTTTGTGAGTCAATTTTGAAATTTTGTTTAAATAAAGTTTTTCTGTTTTTTAAAACGGATTTTTACTTTAAACCAAAATAACTTGCGTATGATGGGAGGTTTGTGATTTTTTTTCATGCAATTACTTCAATAACCTTTTGAATATAATTCATACACCCGCTATATAATTACTATGATGTAAAGAAAGACAATAAAACATAAAATATATTGACCTTATATTTTTATTTACAATTACTATTAATATGTACTTACACACACACATAGGTAACATTTACACACCTACATGCAAGTAGTATTTAACAATACAGTTTTTAAAACATAATAACAAAAAAGTCAGTCTTCTTTAATGAGAATGAGAATGAGAATGGGAGTGTCCATGGGGTACTGAAAAATCGAACATAAATATTAGAATTGGTGCTGTCATAAATATCTTCCTATAAAGTGTTATTAAACTGTATTTTATGAAGAAACTAATGTTTTCTATTACACACTTTAGTTAGTAGTTATTTATTTAATAATCTTCTCAAAATATTTAGATGACAACAACTTTGAAGAGAGAATTATTAATTTTAGTTGAAGAGTTCAACGTCAAATTTACAATAGGTTTGCACGACGTACTTCGTTTAAAAATATCAAGTTGATCGAGCATCATTAGAACAATGTGTTCAACAGAGATGTGCAGAGTGTAAACTGAGTTATATATATATATATATATAGGGTTTACCAAGGTAGACCTTCATTAGAGTGTTAAGTGATAATAGTGGGAATTAAATTTTGAATTCGTAATAATCTGATACGAACATTTAATGTTAAAGCATTCATTCACTTAAGTTTCACTTCCAGTTATACCAGAAACGGGAACTAACTTTGTTATTTTAAATAAAACACCTTGTTCTCGGTTAATTTAATTTAAAGGTTAATTTTGTAAAACGTGCCTACCTGAATACCGCACAGTTTGAGAAACTGTTCACCATTTTCAAATTATTTATTTAAAAAGGAAGATCTTAAAAACAATTTTGTACTGTCAATAATAACTCACATTATATACCCAAATTTTTAGTCTCAGTCAGCTATTTAGGTGTATTTGGTGTTACGGAAAAAACATTTTTGCAATTTGTACAGGGTGTTAAAAAAACTAATCTGAATGTTGAGAAAATTAGACAACAAGAGGTTTCCTATTTTAAGCGGAACACTATACATATCCTCATTTTATATATCTGAATGCGAATTTTTATAGTATTGTGTATCGTTTCACATGACTGGAAAGTCTCGAGGTCGACAAACATGTTCGCATTTATGTAGTTATGTCGAAATAAGATGCGCAAGTAGCCAATAAATTACAAGTAAGTGTGGATAGATCGTGGAACTTTACTTTAACTTACAAGCGTCATACTCTGATAGTTTGCAGACACGTCCTCCTCCCCACAATCGGAAACTAACGTTGTAGAGATGTATGCAATACAGAAAGGAAGACTCGATAAGAAATTTGCCGCGTAACGTATACTATTTGATTGGCAACAAATGTACTTACTAAAGTATTGTCTGAAACGCAACGTTTCGAGAATACCGTGAGAGAGAAGAGATGCCTAAACATGACCTATAGGTATGAGTCAGACATACTGCGCTTCCGACATCTTTGTCTATTTCATGCACATACTGTAACACGTCGGTGAGTGATTACTAGGAGCGTTCTCATGCCTTATGCGTAAGTCTCGCCAATGCATTGAAGTGAGTGCGGAATATATGTCATCTTATTTCGATATGCCTATATAATGCTGTCCAGTGTTATTCCAGCTATCTTATGGATGACAGATCTGTAGACTTGGAAGAATAATGATATGGGTCGGTCCCAGTTGCTTTGATGGTCTTGGCGTTCAACCATTCCATCAAACTTCGGACATAAGCGCCTAGTCCTTGTCTTTTTCAAAGTATCTGCCTTTGTCGGAATTGCAATTTCATTAGTACTCCATAATGGCTAATCCAGCTATTGACAAGCTTTCCGTTAACGGCGTGTGGTTCTTGATTCGGTGTTGCGTCTGCTTCGAACGTATCGGTTACTGGAGACTGTGAATGGGGATGGTCTTCCTACGTCGACTGCAATTCTCGCAAAAGGTTTTGGGAATTTTAACCACAGCCACTAACTCTTGACAGGCAACACACTAACTTCGCTATTTTTGGTACTGTTTTGCTAAAGAATCCGGTGATTTTTTTGTTTTCTTGAACTACCAAGTCCTGCATTACTAGCGTAGGCATCAACGATTAAGGCTTCGCGGACCTTTGGGAATGCCAAGATTAGGGCCGAATTAAAGTGAATTCTTCAAATTTTCAAATGCTTTTTGACATTCGGGTGTCCATTGGTAGTGGGTTGGCTCTATCGCCAAATCATCATATGAATCTCCAATAGCAGTTCCGGATAGCTTCTAAGTTCGAACCGATCTTTTGGCATGGGTCAAGTTCATAAAGCATTCATCTTGCCAGGGTCAGTTTAATTCTTACTAGTGTTGTACTAGATATTTCACTTTCCTCCTAAAAAGGGCACATCAATTTATTACAAACATTTGTCACGTTTCGTAGGGAGACGTCGAAAGTTTTTTTCCAATATGATAATGTCCTCTGAATAAACTAACCAGATTTCTCAGTGTAATCCTTGTAGTACTGGGTCTATTAGTCTTTCGAATGTAGTTGGTGTATTGCACAATCCAAAAGGCATCCCAATGAATTGCGATATACTATTTTCGGTTGTTGCTAGTATCCATCAAAATCAAGAATATAACTATTTGGCTCCAGCTAGACTGTCATGGATTAGGAGTAACGTGTAAGGGGCGTCCATAAAATACGTCACTCAGAAAGTCCAGCCGCCCTCCCCGTTTGTCATGCTAAGTCACTCTTTCCGCGACCCCCTAACAAATATTACGTCACAAAAGTTAACGCGTCCTGATTTTTTGGTGATTTTTTTTTCTCCCCCCTTCTTTTCAATCTTGATCTCCTTTTCTTTTTTTCCATCTCGTCTCAAATGTTATTTATCATTGTCATGTTTATTGCCTTTTTCTATTTTCTGTCATTTCTTCTTGTTGCATCTTTATACCAGCTTTCATTCCTGTCATTAAAGGTTTTATTTGTTCTCAATTTTATTTGTGTACCCTTGTCTGTAACAGCATGAAATATCTGGATTTCTTTTAGAAAGTTCTATGAAGTTCGTAGATTCTGCAAAACTATTTTTCTTTTTTCGCGAGCTTTCTGAGGATATATGACTTGCTGAAGTTTTTAACGATCCATAAAAATATCCAGAAAATTCTATGAAATTCTTCGATGATGTCAAATTCGTTCTTCTTGCTTCAAAGCTTTCCAATGATATACTACTTGTCTGGCTTATGCGAGGGAAGTGGATGGACTGTTGTTTTTAATCAATAAAAGTAGGGATAAAAAATCTTGGCCAAGTATTGTTTGTTGAAATTTAAAAGAAAAGTTTTAATGTGGTGACCAAATTTTGATGTTTGTATAGAACAACTCGGTAATTATAAGAGATTCAAAAGAATTAATGGCGGCTTTTCTATCTTCTATTTTGAACTAAAGTTGAAAATTTCGAGTTTTGACTACATGAAAAAAGTATTTTTACATTCTCCTGACATTTTTTTAGACAAAATACAGTGGTGTTGGAATAATTAAAAAAAATCATACCTTTTCTGTCTATACCTTACACTTTTTTTGAAATAGGAGTCATAGTTGGTTACGGTATAGTTAAAAAGATAATTTTTTCCTGTTTTCAAATATATATATATATAGGTAATATGTGGGATTGCATTCGATAGATAAACATTTAATTATGAAAATAATATTTTCGTAGTTTACCGCTTGCATTTTTTACATTGGTTTCTAGTAAATGTCTGTTATTTATATAATACTGATCACCCGTTCGTCATTTTAAATATCTATTCTTCCCTAGTAATATTATTTGGACATATGAAGCCTTCATTAGCAGTCTCGGAATTTTCAACAACGGAGACTACTGGTGCGATAGCAGACCTCATCGTATCATAGACTTTAGATCTCAATGACGGCTTGGATTCAGTGTTTGATGTGTTCTAGTAGGTAATCGTGTTTTAACTTATCGTCTGTATTAAGAACATCTTAATGGCCATGGGTACTACGGCCTTAAACTAGCATATTATTGAAGAGTTTACGGAAAATTTACTGTTCTTTTAGCAAGACGGCGCACTTAATCATAATACCAAAGTCGTTTCCAATTGGATAGGAAGTAATAGACCAGTGAGATAACCTCCATGATTGAAAATAAATTATACAAAAAAATCAATAATAATTTAAATGAACTACGACAGAATTTCGTACAATGTGTAATTTCAGTTTCAAATATTCATATTCATAATCTTGTCGGAGTATCATAACGAGATCTAATTTATATGTTGAGAATAACGACAATTAGTTTGAATATTTACTTTAATTAACGTTATATTAATTATTACTAGGTAGTTTTTTTTTCGGTGCCACATTAGAATTGTTATTGCTATGAATAAAGCATCCAACGTCGTATTTATCGTGATTTTTCGTAAGCCATGTTACAGGAATTAATTGGGAAAACTCAAATTAATTCCACGCACTTTAAAATGATTAACGGATATTCAATATCATATAAATAACAGACGCCTAATAGAAACCCATGTACGAAATACAAGGGGTAAACTACGAAATAATTATTTTCGTAATTAAATACTTACCCTCCAAATACTACCACATATTATATAATATAAATTTAAATAAATTATAAATAGTAAGTTTAGGTTTTTAATTTAATTGTTCATTGTGGAATATTTTATTGAAGCACTAACATTTTTTTACGTAATTGTTTTGACATTACTCTGGCAATGTTTACATAAAATAATCAAAAATTAGTCCACCAACTCAATAGAATGTAAAATTTGCACGTACACACACTGCTATAATGTGGCATATAAACAATTCTGTACGTTTAAATTTGCATTTAATTTATTCTTATGAATCATGCTTCTAGAAATACGTTAAACTCGCGAATGTATAAAAAATAGAACATTACCGGATTATAGAAAACTTAGACATAGGCACCCGTAATATTCTGAATATTTACAGCATAGGTACGAATGTTTCAAGGAAAAATCGATGTGTATATATAATTTCAACATGCAGTAATAATAACATAAAGTCAACAGACTTGCTAACGTAGTAATTGTACAATCTTTTTTATCAAAAATGTTTACTACGTATTCGGTGTAAACAGAATAAGCAGCAAAAGTAGAAAATCGGAGAGAATAATAAAATAGTAAAAAAAAATGACTCCCCATAATTACTGCAACAGACTATCTTATTTACGAAAACGTATTTTTGGCATTTCTATTATGAACATTTTTGTAATTGAAAATTCCAAAGTGAGCAAAAAATATGTTCGCAAATAAAGCTATTACCTGTTGTAATTATGGGTTAGTCACTTTTTATTACTGGTCCTTTTAATTACTATTTGGTAAAAATAAAGGACTTGAGGAAATATTACAATACATAAATTTGTAAATTAAAATCAAAGCAATTTGTAATAGGTGAAAGATTGAACCCATAGCGATTGAGAATTTTATTACATGTTGTTGGGACGTGAAAATAAGTAATTCTCATTAAAATGTCAATAATGTCCAACGATTTATCTATCCTCTCAATGTATTTTGAAAGCCGAGCCTCAGTTGCAATAATGTAAAACCCTACTATGAATTATTTTAATTTATTTGAACATCAGGGGAGCCAGGGGAGAACGGTATTTAGTTAATTTATAAGGATTTCAAAAATAATTTTGTGAAATATTTCCCGGAAACATAAGCAGTGAATTCAATGTTGCAGCTACAGGGGTTTAAGGGGTTCAATTCGCCCCCTCCTCCATATACTAGGAACCTTTTTCTTTTCAATTATATTACAATCTGAGCACCGCCAAAAACAATTGCTGTCGAGTACATATAGTGCAGTAGAAACACCGAGCAATATGGTACAATGTTGATTGCACCATGGTAATTTCATTTTTTGTTATAATTAACAAATTAAATTGTAAATCGAAGGTAAATACGGGCAGACAGGTAAGGCAATAATCCTGTCACATTCATTAAATTTGAATTGAAGCAAATAAAAATAAACTATACGCGTTTTTTAGATTACAGCACTTATTATTTTATTTTATGCTAGCTTTTACCGCGTGACATTGCAGACGTGAAGAAAGAATATAAAATAGCTTAGATAACTCTTAACAGCCTTTTCTTCATGCCTATAGAGTCCTACCGAAATCGGCTCGGCTATTTGGATGATTGACCCGCACAAACAGACAGACAACCACATTTTTGTTAAGGGTCGTTTGTGTCTCAATAGCAAACAATTATATTAACTTAAAAAAAAGAAGTAATTTTGGTATTACAGTCTGACTTCTCAATTTTATTTATAAATTGATACATAATACTGTGATTTTCACTATTCTTTATTTCGACCGCCCCTTTCACACGCCACTGGGGGTATTTCAAAAGAAACGAACTCAGCTCCCTACCTCACCATCTATAGAAAAAACGATTCCAGCAAACATTATGGAGAGCTATATGACGGTGAGCTTGTATTGCGACTTCTAAATATGAAAGCATATAGAGCCAGATTCAGAAAGTGTGCAAAATTTTACATTCAGATAGTATTTCTAGTATGAGTCAAAATGGCATTCGAGGGTTATTTGATTTGGATAATATAATGTTTGCAATACTTACTAAAAACAGTAGTGCAAAGCATGAGACCAAATCCCAGAAAAACAGCAAAGAACGTCTTCAGTCCACCTCTCCTGTCTGTTCTGAGGATTTCGAAAAATACAATATACAATAAAGTTCCCGAAGCGAGTCCTTGGAGCACAACTGATACTACTTCCGTAGAATCTTTTTGATCTTCGCTCAGTGCAATCCCTATTCCTATACCCAATGGACTTACAATCGCGAAAGTGAACACATAAAATATAGTCAAAAGTTTACTAATATCACTGACTATCAGTTCAACGCCTATACAAAAGGCAATTACAATTTTATGAGCACTAACGGCTCCAAACATGTACCATACACTGTTAGTTGAACTCTCTAAACCAACCGCTAAGCCTTCAAATAGTTCATGCACCGAAAGAGCCAAAACTATTAAAAAACCACGAAAACTTTTAAGAAATGAATTATCAAAATTATTATGACTGTGGTCTACATGAGTATGAACATCAACATTACGTTCTAGATCGTCTCTTAACGGTATGGACTTTGTCGGAATTTTGTCATCTCCTCTGCGAATAGAAAAACTTCTTGTGAGGTTGTTAACTAAATTATCTTTCTCTCGGGAATGTAGATAGCAGTGAATTGCTTCTTCCACGAAGTACAGAACAAAGAATCCACAACACATAAGCAATTCTGCATAGTGGATTTCATAATTTTCTGAGGTCAGAAAAATCAATTCGGATTGAAGTGCTTTTATTTTCTCCGAAACTTCTGGAAGAAGATGGAGAAATGTAGTGCATAATAATATGCCTCCGCCAAAGCATAACAGTCTAGTGACAAGTTTGCTGTTCTGTATATTTAGTTTCCAGTGAAAAATACTTGGTATGTATAAAGGTGACGTTCCAACAATAAATGAAGTGAAGAACAGAACGCACATTGTTACAATTTTCGCTACTGTGACACCATTCGAATCATGATCATGGTCATGATCGTAGTGATGATCATCTTCGTAGAATGGGGTTGTGCTGTAGTCTACCATATTTAACTGTAAACAAATATTCTTTCTATTTTGTGTTATGTTCTGTAAATAAATAATACTTATTTGCTTTATATCCTTTCATTTCTAATATTAGTTTATAGAAATATAAACGATAATGCTATAGAAAAGGAATCTTCAGGATTTTTATCGGGAATAACATCCTGTATTATCATCAGTTAAACAGAATGAAATTCATCTTGCAATTTACAAAATGCCATGAAAACTTTTAACAATACCTTGCAGTTATTGAAGTTATACCTTTTGCAAAAATAAACAAAATTTTGTTTAATATGTATCTGCATTGTTAAAATTTTATTGCGCTTTATAGTATACCGTATTAGGTAACATTACCTGATGTAAAACAGTAGTTATTTAATTTTGATTTGAGTTCTAAACAATAATATTGAATATAAAACAAAGAACCACATCAGGGTATTCTTATTCACAATTCCTGTTCCGCCAACTTAATTGAACACTAAAATACTAATGCCTGTATTAAATGATTGTTACATTTAAAAAAATAATGATTTTAAAATTGTTGATATCTACATATGTTTGAGTACCTACACAATACAATCTTAATATCACTGTAACTGAAACTTAAATTTAAAACACGTCAGGTGCATTCTATAAATTCACTATAACGTTTTTTTTTTATGTACATAATGTGTATTCATTATAGAATATATTATTTTGTTAATAATATAATATACATAATTAAAAGTTAAGGAATTATTTTTATAAGTTTCGTCTTCTTCTATAATTCTTATTTCCCCAAATTAATTGATCATTAAGTGACTGGTGTCTGCATTAAATGAACCTCACATTAAACACAAATAAATTTTAAAAATTATTTACGTCCATATATACTTAGGTACCTATAAAAAATAATCGACAACTTAATAACCGTTTAACAGTTTTATTAGATTTTGCCTTTACTATGAGTAAATACGTTAAACAATTTAGACACACCATTCATCAACAACAGTATGCATTTGTTAGCTGTTTGATAATCTATTGATTAGTGCAAAAGAATGTAGGTACCAATAAATTAATTATTAAAATAAAATGATAGTTTATTAGTAAGTAAATATAAAAATTCTAAAAATACACACCAAAATCAGAAAGTACCGTAGTTGACTCAATTTCGAAGTTTATACGTATGCCTGTGTGTGTAAATTGGTGTCATTCAACATTGTTTAATGTTTCAAATTTTAAGTTAGGTAGCTTAAGTAGGTACCACGCCATTTCTCCAGAGATGATAATTCCGTCTATGGCTTTGTGTAATTGACCTGAAATAGTCAATGTTCTTTTATCTTGTCGCATAAGGAAAGATTAAAGAACTAGAAGCGTAAATGTATACATATTTATTGCTGTTACATATATCTTCAAAATGTTGATAAAGACATTTTGAGAAATTTTTTATACACATTCATAAATAGGCGGCTAATCAGTGTTTTTTTAGGCGAATTCAATTAATTTCTTTATAACTTTAACCCTTGATCTTAAATGATTCCGGTTTATTAATACACATTTAAACATCTACAAACTACAAAGTGAATACGGAAATTAACAAATTACAGTAGGTATTTCAGAGATACATACAATCAGATGATCATTATAAGATCTTCGACCCAATGACAGATTGGACGTGCACCTCCACTTCTTCCTATCATGAACTAAACTGTTGGATTTTTCCAAAATCAGAGCAGCATACATAACTATTTACGAACACTAATCTAATCTAAGTGTGCATCTGCCCCCCTTCTGGTTCCTATACGTCACTAACCGTAGTCCTACCAACCTATATCGCCTATTCCTTTTAGCTTCCATATCATCCTCTCCTCTCCTATTCTTTGTAATACCTTCTCATCTATAATATTTTCCATTCGCGTAATTTTCAGCATCCCCCTATAACACCACATCTCAAACGCTTTCAACCTTCACGAGCCAAACCGCTTTTTCTATCTTGATTTATTTGACTTGCTAGATATCAAAAATCGCGATGATTTTTTATTTCCATATCAGCTCTAACAGTACTTTTACCTCCCTTACCTACACACACACACAATATTTTGTTTTATTTTTTGTTTTTATTTTTATACTATACCACTTTCATTATTTTGGATTACTTACAATCCGTCTTTGCTAGAGTATAAAAGGTAATGATGTATCACCCTCATATCTAAGCAATAATCGGATTAACAGTAACATGAGTTAATATTTTGTTATTAAATAAGTTCAAAGCAGAACAGTAAAACAGGTTTTGTATTCACAAATTGAGGGAATTTACTAGTGTTAAAGAATTAATTTAGGTACAGAAAAGTACCACCAATTTACACTTTTTCTGGCATATATCCTTATGTTATTAAAATGTTGTAAAGTATTTAGTAACATACACAATAACCAATTAAGTACAATCTATAGCGAAAATACGTGATTCTACTTTATGCATATATTCGTAATTGAGTTTCCTTTTGTACAAACTTTCTTCTAGAAAGTGTTCAGACTACTTTTATGTATATTACTCGCTGTTTATTATATTTGTCTCCAATTTACCTACACGTGGCTTTCTTTATTCTTTTTTTGACTGGAGATATATACGACCATCGATATGTCCATTACAAATTTTTGTTTTGTGAACGCATAAGCGTCGTTGAAAAAACATTTAAAAAATTTTTCCAATTATTTTGCTATTTAAATTTTATTTTTTGCTAAAACTTCTCAGACATTGACTTCTAAAACCACTGTAGATAATACTAATTTGTCTATTTAATGAAGTAAAAATAAAAAACTCGTGTTATACAAATATGTAGTTAAGAATTACAATGCTTTAGTTTACTAGATAATATCAGCGAAATGATATACAAGATGAAAATACTATCTCTTAATAATTAACATTCCCTTTATAATGTACTAAAATAAATTCAGAGATTGTATACACACATTTCATCTTTGTTACCTGATGAATTCTATTGTTTTTTCTACATTAAAAAATAGTATAAATGTTCATAAAACCACTATATTAACTGATGTTATTATACTCACGTTCGAAAAAAATTGACGAACTAAGCAAAACCTAAACTGAAACGTTTGGTAAATGTTATTAACTACTCTCAACGTAAACTTCGCGTCTCTTATATACAACTCCAACGGGTAGATACCTAATATTGAACACGTATGTATAAAATACCTGACAGGTTTAAATGCTCGTTTATTATACAGAGTGATACTCAAGGTTGTTCAGATAACTGATTCCACGCTAACAACGGTCTAAAAATACGCTCAGTATTCGGCTGACTCCTCCTATTTAATTATTACTTTGTAAGTGATTTCATTCTTACACTTAGGGCAAAATACTGCGATAGGTAATCTATTCTTAAACGTGTTAATTATATACAAATGATTAGAAAAAAACAGATAATTAAAGATAAATAAATATGAAATGTGTGTATAAAACAAAAACAGGACAGATTTTTTTAAACTGTTATGCCTTTTTAATTGTACATTTATATACAGGAGATACAACTTTTTTTAATTGTTTGTTGTCAATGTTTTACAATGTTTAAAATTCAATAACAGTAATTGTTGCAGAGATGAAACAAACGAATAACAGATGCTGACTCAATAACTTTCATGTAGTACTCTTTATTATTAAAACTTGTTTAGTACAAGTTTATAAAATAGCGGTTTCCATAATAAGCGGTGTTTGGTAGTCATTTTGGTCACAAAATAGAATTAATAAATTGACAATTTTAGGTACCGTTAATAATGGACTATGCCGGATACGTATATCGAGTATACTAATAAGAAAGTGAAACCTATTAACCGTCTATTTATTTTATTAAATCCTTTAATAGCCATGTTTCAAATGAAGTGCAGTGAAGATGGTTTAAATATTATTAAAACGACAAAAGAGTACAGAAGTACATTAATAAAAAAATAGATCATCTCGATTGTTTATTAACATTTTATTAACAACCATATGTACGGAAGACAGTGTAAAACCACAAAATTGAAAATAACCGTTTTTCTTTCACGTTTTGTATCAACTAATTATAAATTTGATCGTCAAACATAAGCGTAGAAATACAAAACGAACGTATATATCTTTTGATAAGATAAACAATAGATAATTTCAACTTTTCGACGTATATCGTTTAATACTCTCTAGGGAATACGTATTTCATGCTTATTTTAAAATGTTTTAAATTATACAGGAAGGCTCATAACTCTGTGTACATATTAGAGCAACCATAAGTTCCTGGGCACAAAATGAGTCGACTGAACCAAACTTCTATTTATCAAATTAATCCATTAAAGGGGCGTCAAAGGTAGTGTTGAAGTTACCTTATTAATTAATATTTTTTTTTTACTTTACTAAAACTTAATCTCTATGTATTTTTATATAAGCAAGAGTAAACACTTTTCATGTTTCATAACACACACAAATTTACTTCTCTATGAGTCGACGTGCTTACAAATACATGTTATATGAAACTTCTATTAAACCTATGTCATAAACCAAATTACGGACACTTCACTCTCAACTGTTTTAAGAGATGGAAGTAGAAGAAGGAAATACTAATTAAAATAAAAGTCTTTCATTTTAATATAAAATAAGACCCATAAATTAATAGGTTATAGGTCCAGGAAACGTTTTAATCCAATAATATTAAAATTATACATATAACAAAAAAAAAGTGGATAAAAAGAGTAATGGAAAATAAAAGTGTTACAAGAAACGCTAAACAGATCGATGATGAGAAATATAGTGCATGGAAATTTCGTATTCGTTCCTTACTGAGCGAATTTCAAGTTTTAAAAGTAATTGATGAAGTACCACCGGACATTCCTGATAATACATGTATTAGAAATAATAAAGTTGCTAAAAATACCAAAATTGAGTACACAGCCGATTTGTTTTTAAGTTTTGCAACAGCAAATTGCACTACAAGACAAATTTTTGCAATTTGGTACAATTTATGAACGTGAAAGTGCAGCCACTCAACTAGTAATTCAGAAAAAATCTTAGGATTGAAATTGAAGAAAGTCATGCCTGCAATAAGACATTTCACCATTTTTGATTAATTAATTACAGAATTACAGAAACAGCCGGAGCAAAAGTAGATGAAACAGATAAAGTAGTACATCTCTTAATGACACTTCCAACGTCTTACGATGGAGTTATTACTGCCTTCGAAACATTGCCGGAAAATAATTTAACACTCCCTTTTGTTAAAACCCGATTACTGGACCACGGAACAAAATAAAAAATGATAGTAAAGATACAAGTGACAAAGTGCTTCTTGTGAGTGATCAATATGAAACAAACTTTTAAGCTAAAAAAAAGACAAAATTTGTTAAAAAATCATGAAAGGTATATTAATCGGGTACGTGCCAAAGGACTATAAAAATTGGAATCTGAATACTGAAAATTTTGTGACTAAGGGATGTAATTTTATGATGAAATAAGTAAATTACTTGGTATTGAGACCCATTTTAAAATTGAAATAGTTATCATGTAGGTAACATTGAAAGTAATGATATTAATACTAATACTTTTAATTCGATAACTGAATCAATGAAAGGGAATGGGAAATCTGTGGCAAGTATTGATGAAAATCACATTAAGAAGGTAATGTATAACACTAGCCTTAATAAAACTGTGATTAAAAATATCGCAATTGATGGGTCATCATCTCATACTGATAAAAGACAAAAGTCATGATTATATGTTGTATGCTAATTCGGTTATTTGCAAAATCCCCACGTCATTTGAAGAAATACGATATAAGCACAATAGAGAGGAAATAAATTCACGCATAATCAATAGTACTTGGAGATTAGTTCTAAGGCCTTAAAATAAATATTCAAAATGACTGATTGTAATAATGTACCTACTTCTCCCCAAGTAAGTTAAATTATGAAGAATTACATTCTGATGAATACTGTTATGCACCTTACAGAAATCTTATAGGTTGGTTGATGTACACAAATAATGGTTTGTACTCGACCTGATTTGAGTGTATTAGTAAATAGTTACACAAAAATAGTAGAGAACTTTGGCAATGGTTGAAAAGAGTGTTAAGGTACTTGAAAGGTTCGATTAATCTTAAACTAACATGCAAAAGAAACAATAGTAATAATATACTGATAGTGTATGTTGATTCTAATTGGTGAGGATATGATAAATATGACAGAAATAGCACTTCAGGTTATTTATTTAAAATCCGTGATACAAACACTGTCTGTTGCAATACCAAGAAACAAACTTCTATAGCAGCTTCATCAATTGAAGTTGAATATACGGCTCTCATTGAAGCAGTCAGCGAAGCAATTTGTTTAAAATCTTTGACAAATAGTATAAATATAAAAATTTCAGAACCAATAATAATTTTTGAAGATAATAGTGATTGTATTAGTTTAGCGAATAATCCAGTTAATCGTAAAAGATCAAAACATATAGATATTAGATACCACTTTTCACGAGAACAAGTTAATAATAATGAAAATAAGCTACAATATATTCCTACATGTATAAAATANATAAGCTACAATATATTCCTACAGGTGAACCATTGGCGGATACACTGGCCAAACCGTTACCAGTCATTAAATTCCTAGAGCTAAGATGTAAATTAAGCCTTGAATGATAATAATCACATGTAATATAATATTAACACTTATAATTAAATAATTTAAGTATAATTTTATTTAAAATGGAATAATTAGATTTTTCTGGGGTTTTCTTAATTCTTAGCAACAAATGTTGGACCATATGTACATATCTACTGTATTTCCCAGTAAACATAAGGAATGAATTTCTATTTGTAAAAGTTAATTAATTTTTGAGGGGGTGTGTAGAAGTTTCCATAATAATTAATATTTTTTATTTTACTTTACCAAAAATTAATCTCTATGCATTTTTATGAAAGCCAAGTGTAAGCCTTTTTCCTGTTTTATAGGCACACATGCTTCCCTTCTTTCCATAGACATGATCGATAAAGCAATGTTAATTAGAGACCGAATTAAAGCATCAGGCTATGAGGTAACGTTCTTATAGAAACGGAAACAAGAATAATGAAATCATCGACTGCATCCGGATCCGATAGTTTATACACATTGCTTTTAATAAATAAGTCGACGATGCAGATAAAAAAATACACTGTAGCTGCCATTCTTGACTATTATTTAAACAAAATATCACACTTGCATCACAAATTAGTACTTTCATAGGCATACTTACGTACAAAATTTATTGAGAATACGATTTTTTTTTTGTACTTGTGGACAAATGAATTGCTCTACGGTTCAATCGACTTATATTGATCCCAGACTGCTCGTGGTTGCTCCATGTACACGTAGTTTCGAAACATCCGGTATAATCGAATTAACGTTTTAAATAAGCTTTTGGACACCCATTCGGCATATTCCATAGGCATCGTTTACCGTTTTAAACACTGATATTCTACAGGGGAATACCCAACATAATTTTTTCCTTTTAATAGGGACTTTTATACAAATTACCATAAAGTATCTTTTATGCAGACAGCGTATATTGTTACCACGGTAAAAACTCATACTAGTGTGCAAGCGTAACTTGCGCAGGTATATCCCCAATTGCGAAACCGTACTTTCCAGACTTCCGGCCTTGAAGAAACGTTATTACTAAACTTCTCCTACAAAGATGAGTATATTATTTACAAGAATTATCGACTCTTAAAAAACATGGTATATCAGACCAAGTTTATAATGGAACCTCTCAGCAAATAAACGTCTGGGAGTTTTTAATTATTTTATTTACACTAACTTATACTCAATTAAACTTTTAACTATAAAACGGCTATTAACGAATTAATGTATACGAATTAGGAAAAAGTCCAGCTTATTTCGAACTTGTATAGATTACTTACGATAGAACTATTAGAACTACTGTAGAACTGCACTGCTGGATTTTAGGTTCAGATTTAATTCGGACAGAATTTTCACTTATTTCGGACTTATTTTAAATTCGAGAAGCCTTAAAAAGATACATAAAAAATCAAACTTCCCAGAGAATCGATTTGTTACGTTATTGAGAACGAAAAATCTAAATGTAATTATTTTGTCCGGAAGACATGTTTTAAAACTACTTTTGTTAAGTTAATTAGTTAAAAATAAACACTTACTTCGAAAAATGCACTCATTTCGAGTTATGAGCGACTTAACATGAAAAATTCACATCCCAGTTTTTACTAAACCTTTTTTAACTTACCACGTTGCAAAATTATCGTTAATAATTGCGCTTTAATATAATACTTTTTGTAATAAGGCAACTTTTCTTTTTCACCCTGAAATTCTAAATTGAAGTTTCCCTATTGTTCCTTTCTTTCACATGATTTGATAATCTTTTGGTTATTATGAAATAGACATTATTAAAATATGATATTCATAAAAAGCAATATCGTTATGTATAGTCTCATTTATATTGCATTACTTCTATTTAATACCAATCCATAAAGTAATCTCCCTGCCTCGGCTAAACTCCCAAATATTTTTCAATTTAAAATATACTTTTAATATAAGTAATTACAAAACGGCAGACGTAAGTATACTTTTTTTAATGTAAATAAAGAAATAATTTTTATTAAGTACATTTGAATTCAAATGCGTTTGTTTAAAATTGAATAAGTTATGCTTACTATTATCATTCAAATATTAAATGAATAAAAAGGTTTTTCATTGAAAAACAAGATATAAAATATTTTATTGTGCATTACTTAGCTTTCTTTTTTATTAACCAGTGCTTACTAAGAAAAAGGATATCTGTAGTAAATTTAAATAACAAGTTGCAATTTTCATTTTTCTTTTTGACAACAAAGGTTTTTTATTTTTAAAATTAGTCAGATCAACAGAAAATTTAATTTTCTACAAAAAATCTCTACCTACATAAATACGTACTAAAGTTCCATTGTTCTCACGTTACAGCCAAAAATGCAATTCTATATGCAGTTCTATCGCCTTTAGAGACTAACTCAACGTACAAAACAATAAGATATCATAATGTCTTAGCTTATTACTAAGTGGCATAATCAATATTACTAAAGAAATGCGTGGTCTGCAAACCAGTGTTACAGGTGGAAAAACTTCAACTAAGCAAAGTACCTACCTTAGCACTAAAAAGAAAAGTCACGAAAATTAGATATAAGATCAACGAAAACTTCAAAAGGAATTTCGGCGTTTTGTAATACATACATGGATTATACTGGTCTAACTGAGATCCATGATAAATATCCGAATCTGATCTGATCAGGACATTAAGTCGAATATTTATGAATTCCACAAAAAATAGCATTCTACAGAATGTGTACAGATCGACCAACGAATTTAAAGCCGCAAGATGCGCACAAACAGGAAAGAGATCGAAAGCAAGTAGAGAGTTGACCGATATGCTTCTCGTTCTCAGGTTATGTACAGTCAGAGGAACAAGTAAATCTGGCTTCAATGCTGCCTACGATATTAGTACCAATAATTTGCTCTCCATATTCCACTGATTCTACGCAGAACATACACGATGATCACCACTCTACAATGTTCTACGAAATGAGTTTTGGTTAAATACCTTCCACTTTGCAATTACGGATATCTCTGTCGCTGTTACAGATTCGTTGGTCGAACTGTAGTAAATCATTAAACGCTATCTAAAGGCAACAGATTGAGTTGGTCTGTGTTCTGTCTGAACTGTCTGCGACATGTTGACGAGGCCCAGTATGGTCGAAATTGCGACCCACGTCTGACAGTTTCGACAGAATATTGACCAGTACTTTCTGCTAACATTCCTACCACGTAAGGTTAGCTACGTCATGGCTTCAGTTCGACAAGCTGATATCCTTACGGACCTTGTCGAACATTTCCACAGACATGTTTAAGGTATAGGATTGCCAATGAAAAATGACCACAGTATAAAGATTCTATATAGTACTTCGCTCCTTCAATCTGCCTAAAAAGTGAAATTTTCTTTAATAATGATTATTTACAAATAGCGTGGAAATCGGCTGATTATTCATAAATTTTCATAGCCTCGTTAATTTGACATGCTCGAGAGCGGAGTTTTGCCAAACGGTTAAAAAATTTTGTAAGCCAATTTTTTTTATTAATTTCCATATTGGATTATCTTACTATTGAAGTATAAAAATTCATAACATGCTTTGGATTCTAAATTGAAAACGACGTATTTATTTCCAATACTTTTCACAGACAAAATAGTAGTAAGTTATGTTAAAATGAAGCTACTCACAAAGTTTTGAAAGAGTGTTAATAATTTAAATACTTGATTTGTAAATATCATTAATTTCTCTTAATTATGCTTTTGTTTCTGTTAACATGCTATCTTGATTTTATCAGCTTGCCTTTTACCATAATTCATACTATTGATTAATCAAACAATTTTCCAGAATTTTAGTGCAGTGTGCAAAGATCTTATAAAAGTCGAGTTCACCAATTTTACGCATCAGTACATTAAGTGAGTACGATCGCGAATGATAAAATACAGAATTGGTTGTTTACTGTTTGTTTGCAAATATTTTGTGAAATGTAGAAAAAAATAACTGAACAAAATCTTCATGTCCTGATTCAATTGTTGATAAAAAGTGCGTTCAACCAAGAGATGTTTTTGTTACTGTATTTTTGTGTACTGCGGTTATTTCTGCAATGCCACTAAGACAATAAATTGCAAATTCCTTATCCTTATCTAAAACAAGTATTGTCGTTATTAAAATGTTCGTTGGATTGAAACTAATACCGTAGGTAATAAACCTTTTTAACAAGTACGTGCGATTCCAAAAACTCATCAATTTTAGTTGATTAAGTAATATCTTTCTGTAACATTAGTTGATTAAATATATCATTAAAGTAAACAGTCACAATATTTTAATACAATGTAAAATACTGTTATATTGTTGTTTATCGTAAGGTATTGGGTTTTTTAAATCACATGTTGCTTATGTTTTCCAGGCAATACTTAAATCCATGAAAGTAGTAAGTACTTCAGCACTTGCTTAGTGATAATTTATTGCCATTGAAGTGCTCAGTGGAATATTTAGTACCTACTTTTCTGGATTGCACCTAATAAAACTTATTACCTTAGTCATAGCAACAAAGGAGATTATTAAGAATCATTAATTCAATTTTATAAAAATCCTACCCAGTCCATGATTACGATAACAGGTATTGTTTTACACTTCGAATTATTACTGGAAGCAGTCAAGCAGTGTAACTGTCTTAAGTAATTTAGTATTTTAATTAATAATGCTCCATAATAAATTAGAATGTCTTCATTTATTTTTTATTTATTATTTCATTACAGTCAGGATATTTTTTACATGGTATAAACATATAAATTAGTGTTGGGTTTAAGAGTTCTTTTTAACGAATTAGTTCTCGAAAACTAGTTCCCCAATAAGTGAACTGTTACCTACAATTACTCGTTTAATGTAAGAAAGAGATTTCTCTGTCAAACATGCTAATATGCAACTTATTTATTTTCCATTGACTTAATTGCATTATTGATTAACTATTCTTTCAATCTGTTTGAAATTAGTAATAAGCAAATAATCAAAAATGAACCAATAATCAATATCAAATACAAATAGATGTGAAACATGAAATCTGAATTCTGGAATTGGAAGGTTTGGAATTTGAAGTGAACGATAATTTTGGTAATTCGTTTTGATCTTTACTTTTCTCGCCGTGGCTGTGATTGCCAAACCGCTTGACGGATGATTTATTGAAGTTCTCTTATATTATTTATAATTTATTTCATGTTTGACAATGGCGTTTCATTTATTGTAAGTTTAAACTTTATTTTTTCTATTATGTAATAACTAACGTAGCTGTATTATTTATTTCTAGTAAATAAGTGTTATTTTTACATTTTAAAACCTATCGTTCATTTAAGCAAGGAATTATTTCGTAGCCGTCGCAATATCCGAATTGCTGAACATCGATATAAGATACTTTGTACAATACTGCTTCCATTTTATTTAAGTCTGCCTGTAAGTCCTCTTTGCAAGATGTTCACACTGACGTATCATCTGCCAGTCTAAGCATGCTAATCATTTGCCCCGCATATTATCCCTCGTGCTATCATGTATTTAATAATATTAATCGCGCCTGTGATTTATAGACAAAAAAGTAGCGGTGATAATGTACGTCGTTCTGACTCTTCTAATATTTACTTCTCTACGTTGCAACTAAATTTCTGTAACAGAAATAATTTCTGAGCTATGGTGGGTATAAACTGGGGATTGCATAATGAGTTCACCAGCGTGGTTAGGAGCAAATTGTTTTAAGAAAAACGCAACAAATTACAATTCGAATCCGGTCCTATGAGTTAATTAGCAACGTGATGTGTACTGCGATAAAAACTGCAATTCATCGACGGAGAACGAAATATGTTATGCCAGATAATCAAACGTTCAAGATAAACAAATAATTTATTACTACACTTAATGTTTAGACGCTTATTACGATAAAAATGAATTAAGTATATTTGTTCATCGCTGATAGCATGAATTAAGAACACAACAGGTGTAAGTTACCATAATATCAGTAGGTAAATGAGCACCATCTGGATAATTGTAATTTTATTAAGGCAAATTTCCACACCACTATCAAGGTATTGCCAGACGCGTTACTTATTTTTTGTGGTGATTCGTGAATATCCCTATCATCCCACTAGAAAAAATTAATTAACTGATTTTTGCTCGTAAGGAACATAACCTTACATACGGGAATAACACGCTTAGAAAAATTGTAGGAAATTATTTGCGCCACACCAATAGTGATTATTGCGAAACTTCAACCTACAGCGGCGATATGGTTCATACCCGTAGATGCGTAACATGGCACATTATTGTGTTGTAGAAGCAGGCTCCAGTTTATTTGCAAGTTAAAGCTAGATGATGAAGTGACTATGGCTATTTGCCAGTCCAATAGTCAATCGAAGACGAGTCTGTTTGCAAGACTGATTTATGTAATTATTTACCCTGAATTTATACAAAGCTATTAACATGGCTTAAATGTAAAGTGTTTGTTCAGCAGTTTGGTTCGAATTCGATAGTTGACCCAGTTTGGCCGATTTACAGCGACGATAGAAAAGCTGAGTCGCTTGCACACATACCGTATGTCTATGAACTGTATACTATACCGAGTGTTCCCACAGGACCCCCTCCCTAGTGATTAGCGATATTAGTTACCCTGCTGTGAAGTATTTTGGGAAGTGTACTCGACGTCACGAGCGGGTTGTTTTTGTTGATGGTGCGGCGTCGTTGTTGGAGGCTACAAGCGCAGGAGACGATTGTGGGTGTTGTCCTTCTGCTAATTCAAGTCGGAAAGTACATACAGTTTTCTCCTTGTTGGGCAATTCAACGGTGAACGTCTGGCCGTTCCTGCTGATAAACTTGAAAGGGCCGTCGTATGTCATTTGTAGCTGGTTTTTAGGACCATCGTGTCGAACTAGGACGCATTGTGCTGTTTAGAGATCTTTGCAGATGTCGTATTCCGGATAAAGGCTGTAATAGTTGGACGTGTTAGCGAAGCTGTTGTATGAAGGAATATGGGTTTTTATTGGTATGTGAGCATAGTGGAGATAAGAATCCTCCAGATAGAGGTAGGGACTTTCCATATACCACGTCAGCGGCTGTTATTTTCAGATCATCCTTTCAGGGTGCTCGAATGCCTGATAACAGTGTTATTTTCATGACATGTTATTGCAGCCTTCAACTGGCGATAAAATAGAAAACTGCAGCATGGTATGCCGTGGTATGGATGTGTTTGGTGTTCGTTAGATATCACAGTTCGTTGAAGAGTTAAGATTCGAACTATCTATCTTGGTCTATGGTAATCCGTGAGGGTGCACCAAATCGACAGATCCATCCTTCGTAGAAAGCACGTGCTGCAGTTGCAGCTTCTTGATCTTTGATGGTAACTGCTTCGGTCCAACGTGTGAATCGATCTACGCATGTAAGGCAGTAGCAGTATCCTTCAGAGTATGACATTACGACAATGTCTAGGTGTAAGTATTTGAATCTGTCTGAAGGCATATTGAAGATTCCCAGAGGGGCGGAAATATGCCGGAAAATTTCCGATAGATTGAGAGCAATTCTCGATCGAAAGCACTGTATTTGGTCTCTGCGTTGAAGAGTTTGCCAGAGAAGAAAGCTAAGAGCTCCCAATTACCACCGTGGTATTGTTGTAACACAGCGCCCAAGCAGTGGTCGAAAGTGTCACAAAATATAGCTAATGTTACATTGGGTTGAAAATGGTGTAGGCAACTAGTTTAAATAAATTGTTTCTTCGATTGCATTGTCAGCCGTTTTGTTTCATTGTAGCGGTGTGTAGCCTTTTAAGTTTTCGATTCTGTGTGTGGGCAGCGTTTGGTAGGAATTTTTCTGTAGAAGTTGAACATGCCCAGAAATTGTCACAATTGTTTTGCCGAGCTCGGTTTTGGATAATTGATGATTGTTGTTACTCTTATCTGGTAAAGGCCGTATACCTTTTACTCAGACAGAGTAACTAAGAAAGGAAATTTATTTTTCGCCGAATTTGCACTTTGGTCTATTTAATAGCACACCGTATGAGTTTAAACGTGTGAATACTGTTTGTAAATGTTGTTCATGCTGAGTTGCAGATTCCAATGCGACGAGGATATCGTCGATGTACGCGAAACAAAAATCTTCGTCTATGAATCTTTGAAATGTTTGGCTGGCGTTGCGTAAGCCAAAATTCATGAACGGAAATTCGAATAAACCGAATGGAGTGTTCTTGCTGTTTTCAGAACGTCTTCGTCAGCAACCGAAACTTGATTGTATGCTCGAACCAGGTCAATTGTGGACAATATTGTTTTGTTTGATAAGGCATGCGTAAAATCTCCGACGTTTCGGACAGGATATCTATCGAGAATGGCTCTGGCATTAAGTGAGCGATAATCTCCGCAGGGTCGTCATTCATCCATCGTCTTTCCTCGGGACCACGTATAGTGGCGATGCCCAGAAAATGGAGGAAGGGCGAGCGATGCCCAGTTATACCAGTATCTCGAATTCTCTTTTGGCTGCTGCAAATCGGTACGGAGCTAGACGTCGTGCTCTGCAAGCTACGGGAGGACCAGGGGTAATATTTATGTAATGACTCGTATGCTTGGGGTGTATGAAGTGACGGTTAAAACGCAGTAGGGACGAAAATTGCTTAAGTAGGTAGTCGTATCTGGATATGGCGGATTTGTTATCCGCGATTATCGTTATTGAGGGTTGACAGCAACCAGTCACCTTTCCAAGAGTGATGAGCTACTCGAGCTGATCCAGGAGACGTTGGTTTCTTAAATCTACGAGCAATTCATAGTGGGCCAAGAAATTGGCGGCAATTATTGGTTAGTTGACATCCACAATTATAAATCGCCATGCGAAATCTCTACATAGGCCTCAGTTGAGGAACAGGTTGATGTTACTGTAGGTTCAAATGATAGTACCATTTGCTGCTTGTAGCGTGAACGGTGGTTTCTGACGTTGCCCAGGTATTAGAGACTTGGGATATACGCAAATATCAGCATATGTGTGGATCAGAAGTTGTAGGCGTGTAACTAAGTCTGTAACGAAAAGACAACGTTGTGTAGGGCGGATATCACTCGTCGCCGCTAGTGATCTCCGTTGCGGTTTTCCAACCGCACTGTACATGGGGGGCGCATTTGAGAGCTTTGTCTTTGAATGTCCGGTTATAATAAAACTGACCGTTTGTTCTGTTGTCAGTGTTTGCGCGGCACTTCCAAGAAAAAGTACGCAAACGCGATCGTAATCGCGAGGGTCTTGATATCCGTCGTCTCATATCGTTGAGGTCTATTTTGAGGGAGTTGACCATTTCTACCAGATTCTGTATTGTAGGACCATTATTGGATGTTGGAGGTTATAGTGCGTCCGCGGACCGAGTCAATGATGCTGTCGGCAAATACACCAACGTCATCCAGGTCCTTGACTTTGAGGTCTGTCTTGATTGTGCTGCATGGATCTTCCTTCGGAGGGTCGGCGATCATGTCACGTACTTCTGCGACACATCAAGGATCAAGATTACCAAGTAGATAACCAAATTGGTAGTTTCCGAAGTGGTTGCAGAGGAATCGAAAGTGCAATCTGCCGTGCAGAACCACAACTTCGGGTCGGATCGAATAAAGGGTGGCAGTTTGACTGTCAAGCGGTCCACATACATACACACCCTGTATTTTACTATGTCATTGTAATTCTCAGTTCACCCATTAGTGCATGGTATCCGTTTAAACGGATACCGCTATGAAGTGCGTTTACTGACATTTGAGGTTGTGATTTAAATTTTTTTTGACGTTAGTGCATTATTAAAGTTAATACGTGTACGTTTGAATATATGATATAGACTTTTGTGTGTATTTATCGGAATTAGGTCACTATGAATCCGTCCTTTCAAATGGGAACGGAAAGGAGTAAGTGCAACATATTTTTTTTAGTTGCTTTTAAACTTTAAGTATGGTAGCTGTTACCATTTTTAAAATATGCCCTAATGAGTATATATAGACACAAAAATTACATTTTGCAATTGAATGGATTCGAAATATTTAACTAAATTGATTACATACGTTATTACGGATACTATGCATTCATTCATTCCAGACTAACTTTGCACCAACTTCTTGACTTATTAGATGACGACAAAATTGTGTAAGACGGTAATCTTTTGTGTTTTTTTTTGTCCTTTCGTAGTATGTGCTTATCGATACAAATATTATTAAATAAATGAATCATCTCTTCTCTCAAGGAAAAGAAAGAAATTAAAATTGCGCTACATTATATAGTCGACTGTTAACGTGGATAGTTGCTTTTGTGATTTGTGTTACGAAAATACAGATAAATCTAATTAGGTGAGTTTTCTCACAGAGTAATCTTTATGCTAAAATTTAGATGCTAAGTTTTTATTATTTACTAAACTTTACCTATATACGATGATTTAATTCATTCAAATAATATGAAGCTATGACCGTAATTTCGATGTAAACGTATTTGCATTTCTTTACGATTGTCTTGAGCACTGTTGTGAGACTCTGCCCTTCAGTGTTCATCGAATTATTTTGGGTCAAACTTATGCTAGCAATTGTACTGTCGTGAGACTCTGCCCTTCAGTACAGTAATGACATAAATATTTGCGACGGGGTATTTTGTGAGACTCTGCCCTTAATACCCATTGCACTTTCGAAATATTTGATGGAATGAATGGACACGTCGTGAGACACTGCCCTTAGTGTCATTGCACACTCAGCATTCCTGGAGTAGTCATTGTGTGACATTTGCCCGTAACTACTCTCAATGATAATTTTAAAGAAAACGTTAAGGTACTCGATTAATTAATAATAATTTCCAAAGTAGCATCTCTATAAATAATATTATTTTCCCAAATTTAAATCATAATAATAGTCAGATTATTTCCTTAGTTTTCTTTGGCACATAGTTTGCTCAGGTTAGCTTATTTTTTTATTTCAGATAAGGCCACGTGTCACCTCGGCGACAAGATTTCTAACTCCTTAGTTAAACTTTAAAATTATTCAATAATATTCCTTCATATTCACATTGATACAATAGTTTATGTAAATAAAAAAAAAGTGCATTTAAACTGCGTATTCGATGTCTGCCTTCTTTCCTACTGTTACAATAGTTACTATCAAAATTAGAAATAATTCGCTTAAAGGAGTAGACGATTGTGAATACATCGACATTAATGTTGATTTATTAGGCTCTTTTTAACAGTTATATGAGCTACGGCATTATAGCTTGGGGCAATGGATATAAAGTACACTTAAATAGGTTACAACAATTACAAAATCAAATCTTAAAAATAATAAATAAAAGTGATCACACGGACGTTATACTTACACTACTAAATGTCCAGCAACAATGCATTGTAGAGATGATGATGCATCACTACGAATTTTTGAGAAAAAGTTATAATCAGTGGAAGAGTACCACCAGAATAGCTTATACGTGGCTATACGGAATTAGAATTCATTACCCAAAGAATTAAAAACACTTAATTACAGTAAAAGTATTAAAACTGAACTAAAAAACTGAATAAGATTTAACTGCTAGGAATGCCTAATTTTTGTAGTCAATGAAACAATATTCACTCATTTTCTGTTGTATTTACTTGTCTTTATCAATTTATATCCGAATAGAACATTGTATTGGTTCAGAGAAAATGATGTTCCCACTATTCTATCTAACAGTATTCGCTTAAATAGGTTTGAACAAATTTTGAGACATTTCCATCAACTTGATAACAATGACCTCTTATATAAACTGCGTCCCAATATTACAAAACTGAACAAAAAATTTAAATTGCATGATGGTATAAATATTGTCAATCGATGAAAGTATGATACCATACAACGGGAAGCACTACGCTAAGCAGTTTATAAGAGACAAACCTGTAAAGTTTAGCTTCAAAAATTGGGTTTTCCGTCACAGCACAAGATACATGGTTTCTTTTGAGATATACGTTGGAAAAATGCGGACACTCAGAATATATTACATTGGAGAAGATGTAGTTCACGTCGCCCGCGTGCAATACCGATTATGCCGCCATACGACTACTTACTGTGAGTCTTGTCAAAAAAAGTATAATTAATGTTTTCTAATTATAGTAGGGAAAAAGAAAAACAACTCAGATAAACGAAGATAAAGCATTTATTTTAAATAATTAAGTACTTATTATTTTGTCTTTACTGGAGCATTGTTGATGTTAAATAGTTTTTGATAATCTTTAATTTTGAAAAGGATCTTTCACCAGATGCAACTGAATATTCTTAGCACTATTGCTCTGTTCGGAAATGCCGTTGGTAAAAAGATATTGTAATAGGGCTTCTGGATCATTAGACTGGTTTTCTGCAAAATGCAACTTTAATGCAAAGATTTCATTAAATAAATCAATATCATCAATGCCTGATTCAGTAGTTGAATCAGCTTTAAGTTTCAGATTTAAATCTTCACAATATTTCATTAACTCATTATTGGAATNGGTAGCGAATGAAATGGAATGATGACATAAATAGGTAACTACTATGCTACTACTACGAAGTGAGACTGAACTGAAAATCAATTTAGCGGGCTATAGATCACTTTTACATAAAAAATTCACAGAAATTTATCCTGAACTTAATTTTATAGGTCAACAAAGATTATCTGACCAAATACGAGTGATAAATAAGAAGCGGAGTTTTTAATACTCACCGATGTAGCTACAGCCCCTCTGCGTGGAATGAGAATAAAACCGATGGTCTAAAACGTCTTTAAAGCATGCGATACGACGATTTATGACCTTTTCAGAAGCCTATCTCCAACCGTTTCTGAGAACCAATATCGTCAATGCCTGATTCAGTAGTTGAATCAGCTTTAAGTTTCAGATTTAAATCTTCACAATATTTCATTAACTCATTATTGGAATAATTAAATAAGTTATATTGCTAAAAAAGTCAAATACGTCGGTAAATGTTTTTAACTCGTCGAATCTATCCTTTAAATAAATTATTGTCTGATCTAGGATTCTAAAATAAAACTCTACTCTATATTTGATTTTGGGGCTACTAAAATTTCATCACTGTGTTCATAGTGAAATTGTGTTGATTTTTTTCTCGGACGAATTGTATTTATTACTGGAAAATCTATTTCTAAGATGTGTTCGTGAGCCACTTTCAAAGTGTTCAGCCGTGCGATATTCTATCTACTTATTTAGCAAATTTATGCAGATTTAAGTATTCATTCATCATTTTGCTCAGAGCATTAATTTCGTTTAATTTACCATAATTACGATTCCTTTGCACTTCTGTTTTATACTGACGGATGATTCAATTATAATCACACCAGACAAGTTTAAGTATCAATAATTAAGCTCAAACCCACCCCAAAAGAACTATTAACAAAATAATTGCAATTTAATGTGCCATCGTTACTATTACAAGTACAAGTACCTGTGAGCCTAACCTACCAATTGAAAAGAAAGTTCAAAGGGGATTCCCCTAACTTCGCCAGTCCTGTTTTTCATAGAATGACAGACGACGTTTGGTATTGTATCTTAACTTTAACGGATGCCAATAGATTACGGTATTAACGTCATTCGGTTGGATTGTTTTCCAAGCTATGACATATTTTCTTATACTTAAGGTGAGGTGGGTATTATGACAATGACTTAAATTAAGTACGTAATGAGTCGCTCGATTTGCCGCCCGTCTGCACATCCGCTTACAGCGATCCTGGTAGTTCATTTACTTATAAATTTAGATGATATTCCACCACAAGCTGACTATAAATTATTCTTCGATAGCTACTTTTAGTCGTTGAATTTATTCAAATATTTGGCCGAAGAAAATTTCTGCGCAGCCGCCACAATTTAAGATAAAAGAATAATGAAGTGTCCTCTACAAAACACAAAACAAATTTTTAAATTGCTAAGAGCGTCATATGATTTTCAGGCAACTACTGATCAAAGTATCTTATTTGTCCGTTGGAAAGATAATGAGGTTTGTACAACTATAACAACGTTTAGTACAGCTGAATAAAAATCAGTAGGAAGATGGTCCAAGGAACAAAAGAAGAAAATAATGGTACCACAACTACAAGTGTTTGCAGAGTATAACGGGGAATGGGAGGAGTTGACAAAATTGATCAACCCATTGCGTGTTATAAGACAAGAACGCGGTTTGACGCTACAATTGTGTATTAATATCTTCTGATGAAAAAGCTAAAATCTCATGATGATAATATTGTAAACCTGCTAACATTTCGAATAAATTTATCACTTCATTTCTTATAAAACCTACGGAAAACCTGCATGTCGTGGCAAAATTATGCCAAACCCTCTCCGTTATCTAAGATATGATAGCAGAAATCATCTTCCAGAATATTCAGCTACGGATAATATAAATAGGTAGATCTAAGGCTAAATTTCTAAATATCGGTACATGTAAATCTGGTGCCAAATAATAGTGCAAATTCTAATTTGTGTGAAGGTAATTTGTAGGTCTCTCAGCTAAAGGAACCCACAAAAATCATGTCTAGTGACAATTACACTTCCCCCTACAATGAAAACTCATACCAGTTACTCCAAAACAGTCTCCATCATTTCTAGGACCACTAAAATTATTATTGATATCTCAGTTGATGCATCACATGAAGAATACCTAATAGCTCTACGTAAGTTAGTTGAAGCCTCAAAAATTTGATACTCTACTAGTATATTAAACAATCGAATCTGTGTCTACCTAGCCCAAAGAAAAAATAGTAGATGATCTCATTGACAACAAAAAAATTATTATTGTAGCTAATCAACGAATACCTCTAATGCCATATATAACTACAAATAAAAGAGAGAGATGAT